ACCTTCAACCTTTCTCTTTTACAATCACATTGGTCATCATTGAGGATAAACACACATTTTTATTAGCGCTGCACATTATAGTGTTTTGTTTTAGTGGAGACAGAGGGTTTGCCACGTTGTGCTAGCTGCTTTACCTTTTCCTTTTTTGTCTTGTGCTCACCATTTATTCTTTTATTATAAATTGGGAAGACAGCCCGCTCCATCAACATTTTTCAGTATAAGGTTAGGAACATCCAGTAAGAATGTAGCTTGATGAATACTGTAAAATGTATATTAACCACTTGAGCCCCAGAGGATTTACCCCCCTTAATGACCAGGCCTTTTTTTTGCTGTTTGGCGCTGCACTAATTCAAATGATAAAAGCGCGTTTGTCATGCAATGCTATACCCAAACAAAATTTACGTCCTTTTTTTCACACAAAATAGAGCTTTCTTTTGGTGGTATTTGATCACCTGTGCGCTTTTTATTTTTTGGCTATAAACAAAAAAAAACCACGAAAATTTTTGAAAAAAAAACAATATTTTCTACTTTCAGCTATAAAAAATATATCGTAAACTCAAAGTTAAGTCATAAATTTAAGCCAAAATGTATTCTGCTACATGTTTTTGGTAAAAAAAATCCCAAATAAGTGTATATTGATTGCTTTGTGAAAGTTTATAGCGTCTACAAACTATGGTATAGATACTGTAATTTATGCCTTTTTTTGCTATACAGCGCTGCACTAACTCAAATGATAATTGCGCGGTCATGCAATGCTGCACCCAAACGAAAATTACGTCCTTTTTTTCACACAAATAGAGCTTTCTTTTGGTGGTATTTGATCACCTGTGCGCTTTTTATTTTTTGAGCTATAAACAAAAAAAACACAAAAAAATTTGAAAAAAAACCAATATTTTCTACTTTCAGCTATAAAAAATATATCGTAAACTCAAAGTTAGTCATAAATTTAAGCAAAATGTATTCTGCTCCATGTTTTTGGTAAAAAAAAATCCCGTGCATTAGCGGGCAAACTGGCGCTATCTAGGAGGGGCGCTAACACTATCGGAAGTCACCAGTGACACTAATACAGTGATCAGTAAAAATCTGTTCACTGTAATCAATGACACTGGTGACAGGGCAGTGAAGGGGTTAACTGGGGGGGGCTATCAAGGGGTTAAATGGGATTTCTGGTGCACTAGCGGGCAAACTGGCGCTATCTGGGAGGGGCGCTAACACTATCGGAAGTCGCCAGCAACACTGATACAGTGATCAGTAAAAATTGGTTCACTGATCAGTGACACTGGTGACAGGGCAGTGAAGGGGTTAACTGGGGGGAGGGGTGATCAAGGGGTTAAACGGGATTACTGGTGTACTGGCGGGCAAACTGGCCCTATCTGGAGGGGCGCTAACACTATCGGAAGTCGCCAGCGACACTGATACAGTGATCAGTAAAAATTGGTTCACTGATCAGTGACACTGGTGACAGGGCAGTGAAGGGGTTAACTGGGGGGGGGGGCCATCAAGGGGTTAAACGGGATTACTGATGTACTGGCGGGCAAGCTGGCGCTATCTGGGAGGGGCGCTAACTCTATCGGAAGTCGCCAGCGACACTGATACAGTGATCAGTAAAAATTGGTTCACTGATCAGTGACACTGGTGACAGGGCAGTGCAGGGGTTAACTGGGGGGGGGGGGGGGATCAAGGGGTTTTTAAACGGGATTACTGGTGTACTGGCGGGCAAACTGGCGCTATCTGGGAGGGGCGCTAACTCTATCGGAAGTCGCCAGCGACACTGATACAGTGATCAGTAAAAATTGGTTCACTGATCAGTGACACTGGGTGACAGGGCAGTGAAGGGGTTAACTGGAGGGGGGGGCGATCAAGGGGTTAAACGGGATTACTGGTGTACTGGCGGGCAATCTGGCGCTATCTGGGAGGGGCGCTAACTCTATTGAAAGTCGCCAGCGACACTGATCAGTAAAAATCGCTTCACTGATCAGTAAAACACTGGTGACAGGGCAGTGAAGGGTTAACTGGAGGGGGGGGGGGGGGCGATCAGGGGGTTTAAATGTGTCCTAGAGTGTTCTAACTGTAGTGTAGTGCTTGTGTATCACTTTTTGGATGTCTTCTTCTCTGTCTGGAACGGAATGTGTCCAGGCAGAGAAGAATGACATCATATCCTGCCCTGTGTATGTCAACACAGGACAGGATAGGACAGGGACCGATCATGTGATTTCAGCCAGAAATCACTGTCTGAAATCTAATGATTGATCCCTCCTGCATCAATTAGTGTCACCCGCGGGTCGGCGGAGAGCGCGCGCGCGCGCCCCCTGCCAGCGAAAGTGTCGGGAGCGCGGAACCCGTTTTTAAACGTGGTTTTGCGCTCCACTGCCGCCCTGCACACGTATATACACAGTGGCAGGGCGGCAAGCGGTTAATTAACAATATCCACAACGTTTTGGGGAAAAAAAATGCCTTCTTCATTAGGGCTAACATATTAAAGATAATAGAAAAGACATAACTATTTGATAATAGTAATAGTTATAATAGTAACTAGAGATGAGCGAATCGAACATGGCGAAGTGGAATTCGTTTCGAAGATCAGGAAAAATTCGATTCGCGCCGAATCCGAAAATTAGCAAACTTCGGATGCACGAATCGAAATTTTCCCAAAAATGGCGGCGACATGTGTGGCGACGGAGGGGGATCTCTGGGAAGGTGCGCAGACAAGGCGCGCTGACCCATAATGCATTCATTCATGACATGTGATCGCATTAGCCAATCAGCAGCCAGCCAGCCAGCACTGTGTAATGGTGGAGCTATAAATTGCGGCCATCTTACAATTCTCCATTAGCCTCCGGTCATTCAAGAGAGACAGACCTGTCTGTATTAGGGGACAGAGTTAGGGCCAGAGAGACTTTAGGGCCACAAAATCGTTACTTAGGGACACAGAATCGTTACTTAGGGACACAGAATCGTTACTCAGGGACACAGAATTGTTACTCAGGGACACACAGGGACACAGATTCGTTACAGGGACAGACACAGAATTGTTACTCAGGGACACTGAATTGTTACTGAGGGACACAGAATCGTTACTCAGGGACACAGATTGTTACTCAGGGACACAGAATTGTTACTCAGGGGACAGACACAGAATTGTTACTCAGGACACAGAATTGTTACTGAGGGACACAGAATCGTTACTCAGGGACACAGAATTGTTACTCAGGGACACAGAATTGTTACTCAGGGACACAGAATTGTTACTGAGGGACACAGAATCGTTACTCAGGGACACAGAATCGTTACTCAGGGACACAGAATTGTTACTCAGGGACACAGAATCGTTACTCAGGGACACAGAATTGTTACTCAGGACACAGAATTGTTACTCAGGGACACAGAATCGTTACTGAGGGACACAGAATCGTTACTGAGGGACACAGAATTGTTACTCAGGGACACAGAATTGTTACTCAGGGACACAGAATTGTTACTCAGGGACAAACACAGAATTGTTACTCAGGGACAGACACAGAATTGTTACTCAGGGACACATAATTGTTACTCAGGGACACAGAATTGTTACTGAGGGACACAGAATCATTACTGAGGGACACAGAATTGTTACTCAGGGACACAGAATTGTTACTCAGGGACAAACACAGAATTGTTACTCAGGGACACAGAATTGTTACTCAGGGACACAGAATTGTTACTGAGGGACACAGAATCGTTACTGAGAGGACACAGAACGTTACTCAGGGACACAGAATTGTTACTCAGGGACACAGAATTGTTACTCAGGGACACAGAATCGTTACTGAGGGACACAGAATTGTTACTCAGGGACACAGAATTGTTACTCAGGGACACAGAATCGTTACTCAGGGACACAGAATTGTTACTCAGGGACACAGAATCGTTACTGAGGGACACAGAATCGTTACTCAGGGACACAGAATCGTTACTCAGGGACACAGAATCGTTACTCAGGGACACAGAATCGTTACTCACAGGGACACAGAATTTTTACTCAGGGACACAGAATGTTACTCAGGGACACAGAATCGTTACTGAGGGACACAGAATCGTTACTCAGGGACACAGATTGTTACTCAGGGACACAGAATCGTTACTCAGGGACACAGAATTGTTACTCAGGGACACAGAATCGTTACTGAGGGACACAGAATCGTTACTCAGGGACACAGAATCGTTACTCAGGGACACAGAATTGTTACTCAGGGACACAGAATTGTTACTGAGGGACACAGAATCGTTACTGAGGGACACAGAATCGTTACTCAGGGACACAGAAATTGTTACTCAGGGACACAGAATTGTTACTCAGGGACACAGAATCGTTACTCAGGGACACAGAATCGTTGAATTAAAGAGTATGTCAGACAACACACGCAGAGGAGTGGCAGAGGAGGCAATGTTTCAGGAGCGAGCAGACGTGGCAGCAGAGGAAGGGGTCGAGGCAGCAAGCAACTAGTCGCAGCCAGAGGCCAGTGCGTTCCCGGTGTCATCCAGCGGCGGTCGTGTCTCCACCGACAACCCTGCCGTCATCGATTGGTTGGCTCGGGTCGTCTTCCTCTTCCCAGGTCACCTCTGACACCTACAGCCAACGGTCGGTGGGTAACGTCAGACACAACCGTTAGTTGGCATGGCCCGGGAGCAAGCCCACTGAAATCACGTGTCCTCTACCTGCCCCTGTCCTTTGGTGTTCCCTCACCAAGCAAAGTATCGCATGCTGTGGGCTCAGCCCCACTGTACAGTGAGGAAGAGCAACAGAGGGCGGTCAGGAACGGGGGAGACATCCCGCCTCTTCAGCAGCCAGGCGAAGAAGTACTGGCGAGGAGAGTGGCTCGGTAGCCGGTCTAGAGACAGGTCTGTCTCCTGACCCACACACAGCCGAGGGGGCTAGTAGTGAGGCGGAGACCCTAATTGATGATGATGGGGCTGATCGCACTTGGCAGCCTCGTCGTCATCTGCCAGGCTCGTAATCTGCCATGGGCTCCCGTACCGACTCCTCATGCTGCTGCCAGGCCCGTAATCTGTCATGGGCCCCTGTACCGCCTCCTCATGCTGCTGCCAGGGTCCAGAGTGTGTCATGGGTCCCCTGTACGGCCTCCCATTGCTGCTGTCTCCATCGCCACACTCTGCCATGTGCCACTTTCAGGTCTCCTCACACTGCTGTTGGTTTCCATTTTTGTCATAGGGTGCTGGCAGATTACGGGCCTCCCATTGCTGCTGCCAGCCCGTAATCTGCCATGGGCCCCCGTACCGACTCCTCATGCTGCTGCCAGGCCGGTAATCTGTCATGGCCCCTGTACCGCCTCCTCATGCTGCTGCCAGGTCCAGAGTGTGTCATGGGTCCCTGTACGGCCTCCCATTGCTGCTGTCTCCATCGCCACAACTCTGCCATGTGCCACTTTCAGGTCTCCTCACACTGCTGGTGGGTTCCATTTTGTCATAGGGTGCTGGCAGATTACGGGCCTCCCATTGCTGCTGCCAGGCCCGTAATCTGCCATGGGCCCCCGTACCGACTCCTCATGCTGCTGCCAGGCCCGTAATCTGTCATGGGCCCCTGTACCACCTCCTCATATGCTGCTGCCAGGTCCAGAGAGTGTGTCATGGGTCCCTATACGGCCTCCCATTGCTGCTGTCTCCATCGCCACACTCTGCCATGTGCCACTTTCAGGTCTCCTCACACTGCTGGTGGGTTCCATTTTGTCATAGGGTGCTGTATGGCCTCCCATTTCTGCTGCCAGGCCCGTAATCTGCCATGGGCCCCCGTACCGACTCCTCATGCTGCTGCCAGGCCCGTAATCTGTCATGGCCCCTGTACCGCCTCCTCATGTGCTGCCAGGCCCGTAATCTGTCATGGGCCCCCCCGTACCGACTCCTCATGCTGCTGCCAGGCCCGTAATCTGTCATGGGCCCCTGTAACCGACTCCTCATGCTGCTGCCAGGCCCGTAATCTGTCATGGGCCCCTGTACCGCCTCCTCATGCTGCTGCCAGGTCCATGAGTGTGTCATGGGTCCCTATACGGCCTCCCATTGCTGCTGTCTCCATCGCCACACTCTGCCATGTGCCACTTTCAGGTCTCCTCACACGGCTGGTGGGTTCCATTTTGTCATAGGGGTGCTGTATGGCCTCACATTGCTGCTGCCAGGCCCGTAATCTGCCATGGGGCCCCTGTACCGACTCCTCATGCTGCTGCCAGGACCCCGTAATCTGTCATGGGCCCCTGTACCGCCTCCTCATGCTGCTGCCAGGTCCAGAGTGTGTCATGGGTCCCTGTACGGCCTCCCATTGCTGCTGTCTCCATCGCCCACACTCTGCCATGTGCCACTTTCAGGTCTTCTCACACTGCTGGTGGGTTCCATTTTTTCATAGGGTGCGTATGGCCTCCCATTGCTGCTGCCTCCACCGCCACACTGTGGCTCCACACTCTGGTTTTGGCCTCGTGACTGCCCAAATGAGTGAAGTGTGCGGTGATTCTAAGATCGACGGCACTCATCTGCATGTCATACTGACTGACAGTATTATTTCTCTTCCCCAGCAGACTCCAAGGGCATTTAAATTAAGGTACAGTGTTCTGCACTAATATAAAGGCTCTCTGAAGCCTAGAAACACCCTTTTTATAAGTTAAATTCGCAGCGAAATATATTCGACTCGAATCGAATTTATTCCGCGAATTCGCCGAATCAGCCGAATCAAAAATTTTTGAATAATTCGCTCATCTCTAATAGTAACAATTATAATAGTAATAATAGTAGTGCTACTTTTACATCTACTAGATCTCTCACATGTCCCCTCAAATTCATGTGACCAGCCTTCCTCTGACTGTAACTGCATTCAGCCAAACTACATGGGGCATCTCAGGTTCCATACTGAGGTCTACATTTAATTAAAGATTTAAAAATGCAGGCCTGCTCACTGCATTTAATGAATGGGCTTTATAAGGAGTGGAAAGCTACACCATATTGTCAAAAGTATTGGGTCGCCTGCCTTTACACGCAAATGAACTTTAATGGCATCCCAGTCTTAGTCCGTAGGGTTCAATATTGAGTTGGCCCCGCCCTTTGCAGCTATAATGGCTTCAACTCTTCTGGGATGGCTGTCTACAAGGATTAGGAGTGTCTATGGGAATGTTTGACCATTCTTCCAGAAGTTGGGGTTTTAATATATTATATGAAAACCTGCCATGAGGGTAATAGAAGTTGCATTGCATTCCGCACTTATTGAAAAATCTGTTTGTCGTGCAGAACCTCTAGCTTAAGTACCCTGAATCACCAACCCAGAAGAATTCATACTAGGACTTCTTAGACTACTGAAATCAACAATGGTAGCCCCCATGTTTCTCCCATCATAAGTTCAGTTTAAGGATTTTCACCATTCCATTCACTGGATTTACTCCAGTTTGGCACTGGTGTATAACCATTTCTTAAAGGAGGTCAGAAAGGGCAGCCTCCTGGCCCATTCACGCTATACACGAAAAAAGTGGACAACTATTGCCAAGTTGGCTTACTAAATACTAGCCCACTCACCATGTTGAAACTTCACATTCAAAAACAAAAAGACTTGTGAAGAAAGTCTAAAAAAATATACTTGCCTTTTCCTGGTTTCTGTAAAGGTAAAGTGTGTCATTGTCACCATCATTGACATCCTGAGAGGTCAGGAGCTACTCCAGCACAGTGCAGCCTTCCCAGGATCCCACTGGAAAGAAACTTTATTGATATCCAAGTCTTAGTCCGTAGGGTTCAATATTGAGTTGGCCAACCCTTTGCAGCTATAACAGCTTCAACTCTTCTGGGAAGGCTGTCCACAAGGTTTAGGAGGGTGTCTATGGGAAGGTTGGACCATTCTTCCAGAAGTGCATTTGTGAAGTCAGGCACTGATGTCGGACAAGAAGGCCTGGCTCACAGTCTCCGCTCTAATTCATCTCAAAAGTGTTCTATCGGGTTGAGGTCAGAACTCGCCAGTCAAGTTCCTCCATCCCAAACTTTCTCATCGATGTCTTTATGGACCTTGCTTTGTGCACTGGTGTGCAGTCATGTTGGAACAGGAAGGGGCCATCCCCAAACTCTTCCCACAAAGTTGGGAGCATGAAATTGTCCAAAATGTCTTGGTATGCTGACGCCATAAGAGTTCCCTTCACTGGAACTAGGGGGCCAGTCCCTGAAAAACAACCCCACACCATAATCCCCCCTCCACAAAACTTTACACTGCACAATGCAGTCAGGCAAGTACCGTTCTGCTGGCAACTGCCAAACCCAGACACAGTCTGGGTCCAGTGGGTCCAGTGGTGGCATGCCTTACACCACTGCATCCTACGCTTTGCATTGCACTTGGTGATGGAAGGCTTGGATGCAGCTGCTCGGCCATGGAAACCCATTCCATGAAGCTCTCTACACACTGTTGTGCTAATCTGAAGGTCACACCAAGTTTGGAGGTCTTTAGCTATTGACTCTGCAGACAGTTGGAGACTTCTGTACACTGTGCGCTTCAGCATGCGCTGACCCGGATCTGTCATGTTATGTGGCCTACCACTTGGTGGCTGAGTTGCTGTTGTTCCCATTTACTTCCACTTTGTTATAATCCCACTAACAGTTGAGCGTGGAATATTTAGTAGCCAGGAAATGTCACAGATGGACTTATTGCACAGGTGACCACCTATCACGGGACCACGCTTGGAGTCACTGAGCTCCTGAGAGCGACCCATTCTTTCACCAATGTTTGTAGAAGCAGTCTGCATGCCTAGGTGATGATTGTATACACCTGTGGACATGGAGGGGATTGGAACACCTAAATCACATGATTTGGAGGGCTGGCCAAATACTTTTGGCAATATAGTGTATATCTGCCCTCCATAATAAATTAACCCCTAGACACCATGTGCTGCCTTCCTTCAGGGGTAGGGTTACATTGTTGTAAAGAAAAACTGTACTGAAAAATAAATACAGGCTGCCGGTACTGTCCCCTACCTGAAAATGCAATTGGCTGCAAGGTTATAACCCATTCAAAGTTTTCTTTAAAGCCCAACTCCAGATATTTTGTTTTCATTCATCTTTGGATAGAGTTGAAGAGGTCTAACCTGTGTCAGTTTATTATTTTGAAGGTTCAACACATCCTGGACAGAGATGTTGGCTCAGCAATGACACAATTATGTAAATCTTGGTTTCTGTGCAGTTCTTGTCTGTGTTCACAAATACATGACACAAATCAGCCCCTGCTGCATCCTTCTACCATGTGACTTGCTACAAAGTTGCAATGTTGCAGTCTTATCACTGTGGTGAGAGGGTGGGGGAGGTCCACTTTAAATTAGAGAGAGAACATGCTTTTTTTGGCCTTAATTGCTATTAAGCTTCATGAATGTGCAGTTTGCAAGGACACTGCCTCCATTACACCCTAAGCTGTAGTATATTTATATATATATGTGTGTGTTCTGTCATGTCAGGATCTATAACCTTCTCCCTGCTGTATCTGTAAAAATGTATCTTCCCATTCCCATCTCTGTACATGTTTTTACCTCCAGCTCTCCCCATCCCCCTCCTCTTCTCTCTCCTTTAACAGTGTTCATGATTCTTAGCTAGTGACACCGCCAGGAAATATAGAACAATTTCAATAGGCAAGGTAGCTGTAATGTACCTTTACTGGCGAGTGGAGGCCCATTACTTGAATAGGTGACTCGGGAATGGTGGCATTAAATCTATTTAGATGTGAGTTCCTAGGTCTGCGTTCTTCAACCTTGGGGAAGACAACTGTCCACGTTACAATTTTATTGTATAGCCCAGTAAGTTTAGATCGAATCACTGTATGTTCAGGCTTATCAGGGATTTATATCTCCTGACGACTGGGACATGCAGGTCCAGGCGCTAGGCAGGTGGGGTTTTTTACATTTACTGCCTGGCAAGTAGCCTCTTTAGCTTGGATTCACACATACACTATATTGCCAAAGGTATTGGGACACCAAATCATTGGATTCAGGAGTTTCAATCTCCTCCATGGCCACAGGTGTATACAATCAAGCCCCTAGGCATGCAGACTGCTTCTACAAAAACATTGGTGAAAGAATGGGTCGCTCTCAGGAGCTCAGTGACTCCAAGCGTGGTCCTGTGATAGGTGGTCACCTGTGCAATAAGTCCATCCGTGACATTTCCTGGCTACTAAATATTCCCAGTCAATTGTTAGTGGTATTATAACCAAGTGGAAGCAACTGGGAACAACAGCAACTCAGCCACCAAGTGGTAGGCCACGTCACATGACAGATCCGGGTCAGCGCATGCTGAAGCGCACAGTGCGCAGAAGTCGCCAACTGTCTGCAGAGTCAATAGCTAAAGACCTCCAAACTTCATGTGGCCTTCAGATTAGCACAACAACAGTGCATAGAGAGCTTCATGGAATGGGTTTCCATGGCTGAGCAGCTGCATGCAAGCCTTACATCACCAAGGGTAATGCAAAGCGTCGGGTGCCGTGGTGAAAAGCACGCCGCCACTGGACTCTAGAGCAGTGGAGACATGTTCTCTGGAGTGACCAATCATGCTTCTCTGTCCGGCA